GCGCGGAGTATATACATACGACTTGTCGTAAAATAGCGGTAAGATATTAAGTCCCGCATCGCGAGATAGCGGCCTGTGTGCAATGGTAGTACTTTCGTACAACCGAGGCACAACTATCGATAGTAAATAAAGGCTTTTTTCGTGGAAATACCTAAGTTCACCTGATGATGGGGTAGGGCCCCGAAACCGGTAGTGAGAGCAGGTTGATCCACATTATGTCGAACACAGCATGGAATTAATTTCTATATTAGCAGCTCAAGGCAAGAAACTCTTATATAATTTTATTATATACCTAAAAACTGCAAGAAATTTATTTTCCATTATATATTTTGGGCTAGCCGAAAATAGCCTTTATTTACTATCGATAGTTGTGCCTCGGTAGTACGAAAGTACTACCATTGCACACAGGCCGCTATCTCGCGATGCGGGACTTAATATCTTACCGCTACTTTACGACAAGTCGTATATATATACTCTGCGCTGTGCTCGTCGTTTCGTGGAAATACCCAAGCTCATCTGATGATGGGGTAGGGCCCCGAAACCGGTAGTGAGAGCAGGTTGATCCACATTATGACGAACACAGCGTGGAATTAATTTCTATATTAGCAGTTCAAGGCAAGAAACTCTTATATAATTTTATTATATACCTAAAAACTGCAAGAAATTTATTTTCCATTATATATTTTAAATATATTAATTTCCTGCTATGCGTTCCAGTTGTGCCAACTTATTTCTTTGTAAAATGAAAAAAACTACTTTGAAATTAAAATGAGAGACACATCTATCACTGTCAAGGATCTTGTCGTTGGACAGACTATGTTACGAATAATTTGGTATCACACACTTAGTATTTCGAGTCAAATTGTCGTTACATTTATGGCCATGACGCTCTAAATTAAAATTTAATATGCTATTTTTTTTAATTGAAAATGTCAAAAGTTGACATGTCCTATGTCATTCTACTCAACATGCCATTTTCTATTAAAGCTGTATTCCGTTGCAAAACCAGGCGAACCAGACCGGTAAACTACGGCAAAGAGCGGTTCCTGAAAACATCGGTTTGATACGGAACGGTTCGGTAAAATACTGAAAACGCCAAATGTTGACGTTTTCTAGATTTCAATACCCCTATTATAAAATTTATATTTTATGCATTTTTAATGTACCTATTCTCTGCTATTTCGTTTGCTTCTTCTTTTCAATGGAGTTTAATATTGACAAGTACTTTATTAATAAACTGATAAACTCGTTAGACAGCTGAAGTGAAGATTTGCAGGTCCAATATTAAAACAGATCAATAATAAATAAACAAATCTAATCAATAATTATTGTTTTTATAGCTTACAAAACATTCACGATTACTTGTGTCTTATTTTTCATGTTTTCTTTAAAATGTTCCTGTCTTTAAGAATCAATGGCTACATGAATAGTTTAAATTGTCCTAAAAAGTCATTCTATTTAGTTAATGAAATTTATTTACCTTTACTGCCTACCTCCTTTGCTTTTGGATGTAAATACAAAATATTATTACAAATTTTAGAAATTAAATGAGAATTTAACTCGAACTTCCAATATTTGCTTGATTTCTGTCACATAAATGACATTGATTGAAAAACAAAACCAGAAAACCCAGCCTTCTCGCTCTGGTTAGTTTGGTGACAGTTATAACCGATTTTTTCAGGAACCGTGTTCCGTAAAAAGAAAACTTTCAGGAAACCGATAGAAACAGCACAAAAACCATAACCAAGGTAAGTAACGGAATACGCCCTAAATGAAGCAAAAAAATACCAAGGGTGTCATTTAAAAATCAAAAGTTGCAATCATTTCCGGTGAAACAGGAAGTGACCGAAAACAATTGAATACAACAATCAATCCTAATTTATGTCATATACTAACATGTTAAATCTCCTTTTTTTATCTGAAAAAATAAAAAAGTTATAGGGGGTGAGCCACTTTTGGGACGCACCCTGTATAGAAAAAATATTTAAAATCCACAGTTCAATGTAACATTCAAATTACTTCTGCTGTACGTCGATATAATTTCAAAGGTGCGCGTTCCTTTAATTAAGCCCGTTTCAAAAGGGACCCTTTTTCATCATCAAGTATTAAACAGCCGAAAAAAGTCGGCACAGTGTACGGGAGGGTAAATGAGTTTTTCTGGATTTAATTTTAAATTTACACGCCTATTCAGAGAGCGGGACACGGAGCCCCCAGGGCGGGCGAAAACTTTTTTTTTAAAGCTGCCTACTTTAGATATTTTGGCGGATCGCATTCTTATATTTAAATAAATTACAAAAAAGTACGGTGTTTGATGACAATAGGAGCCTTAATGAGCACATTTTCCAGAAAATATTAATACAGGAGTTTCTAGTGTTTTACGTAGCCGTATACTTGAACAAAGTTTGTATGATAGAGAAAGTAAAGCTATTTTGGAATAGTAGAAAAAAAAGATGCAAAAAATTTAAATGTCGATTATTGTAAATAAACTAAATAACATGCCTTAGATCTAAATATGTTGTATGCCATATGAAAGTTTCAAAGTATTTAAAGTAATTTAAATGGATTTTTACTCATGAAAAGAACGCAGGGGTGGATGGGCTATATGGGAAAACGGGAAAATTCCCGGTGGGCGGCCGGTGGGAACATGAGCCGGTAGGCCGGTCCCGGTCAGAGCTCAAGATTGGCTTAGTAAAAATTAAATGGCTAATCTTCTAACTAAAGATACGTTAGATTCTTAGTGACTGCCTTACTAGCTAATCAATTTGCATCAATATAATCGTCAGTTGCTTTTAAACATAAACACCAATTTGTAAAATAACTATTGTTAGATGTATATTAAGGTCTGTAGGTCACTTCGAGAACCCAATCCATACCGATCCCACTGCCATTGGATACTATATTGCGTATTGCAGGAGAATTGATGGGAAGTGCAAAGTGTTTAATGACTGCGACAAAGAATTTCGCAATACCTACATCGGCTTCTTGCGTAGTTAACGCGCACTTACTTTTATATTCAGTTTAGTTTTTTGTTTCCAGTTCACATCCCCAATGAGCCCATGGGTATTCTTACGTAATTTACTGGCAGTCTCGTTGTGAAAGGAATCATTAGAAGCATTTTATATTTGATCTTTTACAGGTTACATGATTGGAAAACTCCAATTCCCCAATTCCCGATTTCCAGTAATCAAAACGAAATTTGCTGTATTTCAAAAACGGCAAGAGTGACTGGTATAGAGTTTGAAGCAGGATGAGGCAGGATTATAGCAGCAAAAGCAGGAGCTTGATCAGCCATCCTGCTTTTATTGTGTTGCTATGTGTGACGTCACCGATCGGACCTAAACTTGCTGTATATTAAAAACAGCAGGTGTTGCTGGGATGAAATTTACAGCAGGATGCAACAGGGGTACAGCTGCGCAAGCAGGAACCAGTTTTGGCGATCCTGCTTCTCATGTGTTGCCAACTGGGAAGTCAGTAACCAAAATAAAAGTATAGCTCAACATTGGTAGGTGTGGCTGGGTTGGGATTTGAAGCAGGATAAAGCAGGATTGTAGCAGCCCAAGCCAGATCGTATTTTATAATTCCTGCATTCAATGAGTTGCTGAACTTTCCCGATCTTATTCAATCGGTTATTTTCGATCGATTAAGTAGATCGACATCCTTAGTATAGCCCAAATTTCAACATTGAATATGCTGACTGCATAAATGCTTAATCAAGATTATGTTTTTAAACGGTTTTATTTAGCTCGACCCGTACGCTATTTATTTATTTGGGTCAAAATTAGAAATTGAAATTTAAGTACCTTCCTGTTGTCAGATTGATCTGAAATTTGGTACACACCTTTAGTTCCGATGACAATACAATATAGTAATATCAATAACATTGTAAATCTAAGATGGCTGCCGGTACAAAATGGCGGATTTCATATTTTTCCACAACCCCCTCAATATGGGTATCAAATGAAAGGGCTGCACTAGTAGAATACTGTGGTTATGACAAAATTTAAAATCCAAGATGGACGTCGTTACAAAATGGCGTATTAGGTGAGGGCATGAGTAGTCGTGTCCAGAACAGTTGTGTTCAAGATTGTGTGACGTTAGAAGGACAGATAAAAAAAAATAGGTGATTAGATGTACCTACATAGTTAGCGGTAGCTTTACCACCCAAGTTAAGGTAATAGGTTAAAACGTGCTGAGGACTGTATGGCATTAGGGTGACTAAAAATGTAATGTCGCAAGCGTTTTCCCCTCAAGATTGGGCGCCTCTTGTTGTATATTATAGCCTTGCCCCTCTACTGGACCCCCGGGGGGGGGTCGACCGTTAAAATGTCTATTACTCGTGGGAACAACATGGAAACAATAAATAAAAAAACAAACAAAAATAAATTATCAGGTAAAAAACCATGTAATAATGATGCACTAAATGAATTAAATAGAATGAGGAATATTCGGTAGGCATTTCCGTTAAATACTAAAAACTAGAAAATAAAAAATCGGTAAAAAAACTTTTAAGTTAAACGGTTTTATCTTATGTGCACTGAAAACTAGAAAATAATAATAACAATTAGGTATTTTGAACTTCTAGTTCAGAAATATTTTAGTACTAGGCAGAATAGCTTTTAGGCATATTAGACTAAAACAAAAACGTGGGGCCCCTCTGAAATCCTACCTATGGCAAAGCATATCTTTATACTTTGGTAGATCATGAGCTCGGCGTTCGCTGGTGAAGCCGCCACGGCTGGTTATTGATTGTCAAAATCTCCAGTTACGATTATAGTATAGAAGAAAGTATTACAGCAATAGTTAATGGGCCCCACGTTTTTATTTTAGTCTAATATGCCTAAAAGCTATTCTGCCTAGTACTAAAGTATTTCTGAACTAGAAGTTCAAAATACAGTCTTGTTATAAAAAAACCTTGAATAAAAATAATACATCTGTGTCAATACCAGATTAATGAATATTCGAAAAAAATAAGTTAAGGACAAAAATGAACAGGCGCTTACCAAATTCCGAAGGGCTTTTTTCAGACTGTTCGCTCTGTTATTGAGGGCGTCCTTCTCGCGTTCCATAAACCGCGACGTCCTTCTGTGCTTTCGAAAGTTGAAGTTGCTCAGTTCCTTTTCGCACTTTTCACTTTTGCCCCTGTCGAACGAGATTTCACTGTCCGTGTCCTCCTTAAAACAAGAAAAGATACATAATGTGTGGAATTTGACAAACAATATGTGTTATACAGGGTGTCCCAGAAATAAGTGCAATTATTTTAAGGGCTGGTAGATCTCGACAAAAGAAATATATTTTCTCTTTATCGTTTTTCAAATAAGTCCAAAATAACGGAGTTATTTTACTTTGAAAATTTCCAAAAAAAATGATTTTTTGCTAAAATTTTGAGAACCACTGGATCTTTTCTGGATTTTTTTTCTTGTAAATTTAATCTAATACCTATGTCGCCATATTATCAAGAAATTATGTTTTTTAACTAAAAACTAAAAAAAAAATCAAAAATTTCGGAATTTTGAAAAAAAAAATTCGCGGCAAAACCTCATAGGCGTTTTTCTGGGGTTGAACTATACTACCAGTTAAAATACTTGCACTTATTTCTGGGACACCCTGTATACAGGGTCCGGCAATAGTGCGTCGGGCATCTGATGTAGCTCCTAGAATAAAACAGTTGGGAATTTTGGTTAATTGCAGATCTAAAGTATGTGCTAGGATGTATTTCAGAAAAAGATTTTAACTTCTACAGGGTGGCTCAAAAAAGTGTGAGTGAATCGGGATGATTTTTTTAAATGGAACACCCTGTATATTATTGCATTTTTCGCTTCCTTTCATATCACTTTGCGTAATTCTAAGATATGAGTAAATATATTTCGATAGTTTCAGAGATATTCAACGGTAAAAATCATTGGGTGGGCTTTGATAAAAATTTACTGTGGAAAATGTCATATGAAATATAAAACCGCAAATATTTGAGAAACCGTTAAAAATTTTGAAATGCTCTATATACAAAAAATGTTAAAAAGTAATATATAGGGTGCTCCATTTAAAAAAAAACAAAGAGAAATTATTTTATATTTTAGAAAGTTTGGCGTATAATTTTAAAACACCCTGTACAATTTAAGATTAACAAATTTAGAGCAAAGTAAGTATAGACCATCTAAATTAAATGCCTAATATTGTTTTGATTTCAGGACAATTTTTGTTTTTGTAATAATGTATTACAATAATAATATAATAATTTTGTAAGAATGTTAAAAAATACACATTTTTTGTTTATTTATTAATATCTCTGAAACTGTCGAAATATATTTATTCATATCTTAGGATTATACAAAGTGATCTAAAAGAAAACCAAAAATGCAATAATATACAGGGTGCTCAATTTAAAAAAATCATCCCAATCCACTTACACTTTTTTGAGCCACTCTATAGAAGTTAAAACATTTTTCTGAAATACATCTTCTTACATACTTTGCACTTAAACGTTTTGTTTTTTGTAATGGAACACCCTATATATTAATTGACTTTCGGATTCTAGGAGAACAATAATGGTGAGTTTTATTAGAGAAGTACCGTATGATCGAATAAAAACGGCGTCAGCGATGGCCATGAAATGACGATCGATGACATTTCCCATATAATTTTACATATAAAATGACAGCGATCTTCATTTCATAGCCATCGCTGACGCCGTTTTTATTCGATCATACGGTATTGACTAAAGTGTAAGATTTTTGACATATTTAATATTTTCTAAAAATAAAGAACAATTTTTAAATTTCAATAAAAACTACCTAAATGGGAATTTACCGGGTATAGCCTAATATGCAGTTAAAAAAACTACTGTACATTAAATCAAATTAAAACTTGGCCCAAATAAGTTATACAGGGTAAGACAAAATTAATGTTGAACATTGGTCACCTTGAAAAGCAAGTTACTCTTTTATTTGAAATGGAACACCCAGTATATTATTTGGATATTTAATGAGGAATTCATGTCTCTTCAAAATACTATTAAGGTTGTCTACCCCTCAAAAAAGATTGAGTAGATCTTTATTATTTGATAAAATCTAGGTGGCTGGTGATATGTCTGATGTTACTTCAACATAGCTGTCTAATTAGTCTAACTTTAACAACTAGTAAAAAAATTCTCAGAAATTTACGGAAAATGGAAATTTGTCCTACATCAGAGAGAATTGATATGATTCTATTAGTTGGTGAATGCAATGTTCATGTTATATTATAATACAATGTTATATTATATAAACATATTAATTACAATATCAAGTTTTAATTGATTTTCATTTAGATATAGAATATAAAAAATAAACAGTTTAAAATTATGATTTACTATAGGAATCCGTATAAGTTTATGCAGTTAATTTATAAAGCAATCTAGCTTCTAATTAATGAAAGACTAATGTGAAACGGGAAACAATATATCAAATTCATTAGCTCACTTACAGAGGTTTCACAAACATATATTCTGAACGGAAAAATGAGCATATGAAATTTACCTGCTGGGAAAATTGCAATACTGTAGGCGGACCTAAATTGAATAAGAATTTTTGCGATTTTCTTTGTTAGGTTTGCAGCTACGAGGTAAATTAATATGGATTTGGTATATTTAACAACAAATTCACATTTCAAGTAAATATCTACAGTCTTTTATAGTCGGAGAGCTGGCGACATATTTAGAGGACATATTTTAGGCAAGTTAGAATAACAAAAAAATTATAGTTTATTAATACTATACTAAGGGTGGCTGCAACGACGTCCCGTAATCCTGCTGTTATAACTAGTGATGTGCAGGTCGGAACGTGCCTCAGGGAACGTGCCCATGTTCCGGGAATGTTCCGGGAACATTCCCCACTTTTCGGGAACTTTTCTTAAATTTAGGGAAAGTAATCAAAACATTGGAAAAGTTGTGAACAGGCCACGCCACAAATAAAAAGAAGAAGAGAAATTAGGTTATAAACATAACCTAAATTTGTTTCTTTTATCGACTTGTGTTGCTTCTGTTGCTATTTATATATTATTTTGATGTTATTAAATATATTTTGAAAGTTATATTTTCTTAACTTTATCACATTTCTGCTTTGGGGAATATTTCCGTGAACCTTCCCGGAAAGTTTCCAATTTTTAATAACATTAAAAAAAATTCCATTCCCATCACTATCCCGATTTGGGGAACGTTCCTGGGAACGTTCCCAAGAACATTCCCTCAAAATAAGATTCCCGGAATGTCCCCATCTCTAGTTATAACATAATTGGTTTTTGGTTTTTATATATAAAAACCAGCTAACAATTTTATTGGTTTTTATATAGGGTGGTCCGAACTGTATTCCGGAAACATCGGCAGCATATTCTGCAGATAAAAATAAGTAAAAAAGTTCGTATAAATGTATGTCCTAAAATGCTTAGTTGTATGTAGAAGTTTCATTTTTATTTCGATTTTTTCCAAATAATTTATGAAGTAACGTCAGTATTTTGATAAGAATTGGTGTCTGGGAGTTTTTTGATATGAAAAATTTGATTTTGATGTCAATGAGACTCCTACTTGTAGAGGGCGCCACCTACAAATTTTTTAACTGGTTTGAAGATTAATAACTTTTCGTCCGTACCTGTATAAAACTACCGATTAAAAAATTATACATTTACGACATTTTTTACGTAAAAAAGGACTCTTGGTAAAAATCGTTACGAGTAATAGTTCTCGAGATATTTGGAATCTGAATTATTAATACCTATCATTATTAATATAAACTAAACATGCGTTGACTAAATAGTTATTAGACTGAAATCATAAATTTGATATGATTTTGTGACAAAAGTTCAACAGAAACTGTTTTATCATCATTTTTTCGAAGAAACATTTATAATTAATTTAAAAAAACAAAAACTTCCCAAATTAATTATTTCAGTCAAATAAGTATCCATTCAACGTGTTTATTTTTGTCAATAATGCCCTGTATTGACTATTTCCATTCTAAATATCTTGAGAGCGGTTGCTCGTAGCGATTTTTACCAAGATAGGTATATTTTTTACGTAAAAAGTCACGGTATTGTATATTTCTCCACTCAGTAGTTTTATACAGGTATGGACAAAAATTATTACTGTTCAAAATAGTTAAAACACATGTAGGTGGCGCCCCCATAGGACTCATATTGACATCAAAATCAAATTTCTCATGTCAAAAAGCTCCCAGACACCAATTTTTATCCAAATAATCACGTTATTTCAGAAATTTGAAAAAAATTAGTCAATCAGCCACCCTAATCGGACAGAGGGGTTGCGGTTATTTCGCTACTGCGCAACCCATGACATTTGCAAAAAAATAAATTCAAAAAATATCCTTTAGGCAACTTGAAATTTCTTTATTCTTAACTGTGTGTTGCGTTATGCTATTTCTAAATAACTGTTATAAAATAACAGATAGTTAAATAACAACCCATCTCTAAATTAACAATAGGTTATTTTTATTTTAAGTTATTTTAAAGAAGTATTATACTTAAGTAATTTACCTTGGGGTTTTCTAATTTATTTTGATTAATTTGTAAGTCTCTGATCGGGGGGCCATACTGGCTCATACAAAAAATACAGAAAGGCGACAATTATAACTTTATCTAAACTATTAATTTAAATTTTATCATTAAAGTTTTGAAACTTTAATGGAAACGAATGAGAATAAAATCGAAATACAACAGTAGAAGCTTTTTGGACGAATTTTATAGAATAAAGCTAGGAATAAGACTAGGACGGACGCAGAATAGGACATTATGGATTTCAAACTTTTCAAGACTAGTTAATTAATGCTCTAATGAATTACTTCAAGTTGGCGAAAATTAATTAATTTAGTAACATCCTATAAAGAGGCTCAACTAAGGCTAATGACTTTTTATTTAATATAAATTCAGAAATAAACCTCAAGAATATCAGCGTATTTATGTGATGTAACAGAGAAAAATAATAAATAAATAAACAACTTTATTGTACAAAAAGCCAAAATAGCTTCACCGACAAAGCATTTACAAAACAAACAATAGCACAAAAAATATACAAATAATAAAATATATCATACAATACAAATCAATTCAAAAAAAAATTACGTAATTAAAATTACAAATAAAACATACATGGACTTTGCAGAACACAAAAAAAGGCGTATCAATAAAA